AGAAGTGGAAAAATCCATACTAAAGGTTAGGAGGTCAGCTCCAACCGGTACACTACACGCGAAACCACAAGGAGACCAACGTCGACCAAGGAATACTGCACACAAGACCAAGCAACCACATAAACTTGGCACCAACCCGAAACGCTGCACACGACCAACCACGTATTCAGTCGGAACCAACGCGCCTAGCCTTCAGTCTTCGATCTCACCATGCGGCAAGTCGCTCTTTCTTTCCTCTTCACCAGGCCCGCGAACAAAGGCCAGCAATTTAGGCACGGCGGTAGGAAAGGCCAAAGGCGCGCCCGCAGCCGTTTATCAACAACGAGGGCCAATATTTAGAAAGCGTGCAACTCAAACACACTACGTGTAGCCTAGGGTATGCGCGGAAAACGTCCCACGACAAAATAGGTGCACACACCGAATCTGGGCCGCGGGAGGGGGGCGAGATGAGTTGGGGGCGGAGGGGTTCTCGCTGAGCTTCGGATCTCTCGTTGCCTCCGTGTGACCGATATCTTTTGGCCTCGGGACCGCTGAGAGGTGGCCGACCCTCCGCGACCCCTGCATACAGTTGTCTTCGCGGCAGCCTCTAGCCCTGTCTGGTCGAGGGTGACCAGGGAAGCATGGCCTCGCCTTGCTTACTTGGGTTCTCTTGCGTGAAAACCATTTCGGATTGCCTGGCCGTGGATGGAGTAGCCTTCTGTAAACCAAACTAGCTCACGTGATATGCTAGGGTTAAGGATTGGCCCCCCACCCCCCAATGGGGCTGGGGGCCAACATCCAGGACGGATGGTGGTGAGTGTCCGGGAGGAAGGATCGAAGAAGAAGAAGGGGAGAGGAATTGTAGGGGCGGGAAGACGGGACGGTGTTAGGAGAGGCAAGGAAGTGGTACAGAATTCCCGCACTCGACGAGCGCGCGGTCCCGTCGGGGGTGAAAGGGACATGCCACTCCGTAGTCTTGTTTATCGATAACCGAAAAGCCGAAAAATGGTGGTATACATTGTGTACATAACGAACGATGGAGAAGGCCGACGAGGAAGGTACACAGAGAGGAAATTGTACCCCACGTTCGGAGTCGGTGTGAAAATCCGCAGCAAGGAAGGAGTGCGAAGGGAATGAAAAATCACGGAGACGTCGACGTTTGATAGAAAGAAAATAACAGGTACCGCACCGACCGTTCGAGATAAGAGCCCTCGGAAACCGATCAAAAATAAAACAAACAACAATAAAGGAGGACGCTTCCCACACCCGCCCAAAGACAAAATCAAAGGGTAACGTACCAGCACCAGGCACTACGCACCAGGGCATGGGAGAAACGGAACCAACAGGAAAAAGAGGCGGCAGATGAGCAGACAGCCAGATGTACAAAAAACAAAAGCAACAGGAAAAGCGAGATCAAGGTACCCAACACAGCAGAGTAGGCAGGGAGGTCATGAAAAAAGAAACACAGCACAGAGGCCGAAGGCAATACAAAGGACATACACCACGGAGTATAGCATACAGCAGGGAGGGCAACAGGGCGCAACAACATCAGCCGGGTACAAACTTCGCCACAAGTGCTGCCTCGGCCGCCCTACTCGCTTCTGCAGCAGTGCCCGGTCGCTGTTTGTTCCCCCCCACCGCCGCTTCTGCTTCCCTCACGTGCTGGCGCTTCGCGGACGCTTCCGCCTCCTGCCTGTGCAATTTCCTCATGAGCCATGCCGCCCCGTCCTCGACCTTGTTGTACCACACCTCCGGGTCTGTGGCGCTCTCTTTCCATTTCCCCCCTTCCTTTTCGTCTCCCATGTTGAAGGCCACGAGGTCCTCTCCTAGACGAGACATCCAGTCGCTCTCCTGCCCGCCCCGGTATTCCACGCCCCCCGCCATCGCTCCCAACAGCATGCGCTTGGGGAGGCGGTTGTCCTCCATGCGCATAACAAAGCCCGCCAAACACAGTCTCCGTTTGCGCACGGTGGGCTCGATGGTTTCCTCGCAGCCGGCCTGGATGAGGGCCTGGGCATAGGACAGGGGGTGGTCTGAGCGTTTCCGCTTGCTCCAGCCGATACACCATGTAAGGAACTGGCGGTGGGTCCCATTGAGCTTCGTGTAGATAGTGCTGCGCTGTTAGGCTCCACGAGGCGCACCTATATAGGAGAGTCTCCACCACCTCAGCCTGGAGTAGCCGGATCTTGAGCTGGCGGTCGGCCCGTCGCCTTTCGTACATCGAAGCACTGTGCCGGCGGTAGCACTTCCACGCTCGGCAGCTGCGGCTCGTGATCTCCCGGTCAGCCTTCCCGTCCGCGGAGATCGTACGTCCGAGGTAAACAAACCAATCTGTCTGCTTGTACGTCTGGCCGGCGGCGCTAACCGTGAACGGGCGTTCCTCGATCCCTTTCGGCAGCATGCACATGATCTCCGTCTT